CCTCTTTTATAAGGGCAATAACCTTATTTATTTGGGTTCTGCCTTCCAGACATAATCATTCCCAAAGGAAAGGCCCCACCTCCTAATACCTTGGGTATTAGGATTTCAACATAAGAACTTGAGGGGATACAAACATTGAGATCATAGTATACTGTTACATAATTTCAGTCAGAGGGCAGCCAAGCCCACTTTGCGGAATAACATTTCAGCTGCGAATTAATGGATGATTTGTGGTTCAAATTGATGGAAAAGGAAGAACATTTAAAGTACAGTTGTCTCCTCCTACCCATGGGGGATATGTTCTAAGACCCCCTGTGGATGCCTCAAACTGCAGATAGTACCAGACCATACACTATGTTCTTACCTATACATACACACACCTATGATAAAGTTTAATTTATAAATTAGGCACAGTACAAGATTAATAATGAAATAGAACAATTACAACAATATACTGTGATAAAAGTTTTGTGGATAAATACCTTATAACACTAGACTTACCTATTTTTGGACTAGGGTTGACCACAGGTAACTGAAACTGTGGACAGTGAAACCACAGAAACAGAGGGCCTGCTGTAGGGCAAACTGTCTGCAAGATGTCTTAAGGAAGAAAAGAGCTTTCCTCTGTCAAGCAGCTGAAAGGAAGCTGATACAAATGGAGCGATGTGAGCACAGGAGAGACTGCTGGGAGCTGCATAGGAGCTGGAGGCAGGAGTCCAAGTTTGAATTTCATTCTAGATGCAGTAGGAGGCAAAGTAGAGGCTTTGCATTGGCATTGAAGTCATCTCAGTGAAATACAGTGGCACTCTGATGGTGACAGCGGTGATGGTGAGAAATCAAGAGATTTGAGATACTGTTTTAGAAAGGAGGAAGACTAGACAGAGTAGGACCAAGGTGGCTTGGCAAAGGAGGGCCCAAAGAACAACTGGTGACTGCTAGAAATGTTCAGTGTGAACATGTGACACATTTGTAGATTTATGGAAAGCTGTTGGTTGAATAAATGAATCTATGTATCAGAAGAGAAGTAAAAGTAGATCAGTTCTACTGATTAGCTTTTTTGTTTTTTGTTTTGTTTTGTTTTTTTCTGAGACGTAGTCTCGCTCTGTCACCCACGCTGGTAGAGTGAAGTGGTACATTCTCGGCCCACTGCAGCCTCTGCCTCCTGGATTCAAGCTATTCTCCTGCCTCAGCTGATTAGTTTTATTAAAAGGTCCTGAAAACAGCGATTCCTACTGATCGTAGATCATTAACATCATCGTTTCATATTCAGACAGTAGGCCTTTTCCTTACAGTTCTCAGCAAACAAATATACCAGTCATGAGCCAGAATTTTAAAGGATGTAAAAGAGTAATAAACAGAATTTCCCTGTGTGTTACTGCTCCATGGTGTACACTATGTGAACTTATCTCTGTGAACTAAATGATCTGTCTGGGTTCTATGCTACATGGAAAATAAATCTACATGTAAGACCGTACGTGCTTGTATCGTAAGTGAAATATTGGTGTTTAAGTAGGAATTCCAATTTGGTAATGTTTAAGCAATGTTTTTTTCACAAGTTGACGTTACAGATAGGCTAGTTATGGTTAATATTTCCCCTTCCACCTCCTTCTATAAGGGCTTAACCAAAGAAAGAGAGAGGGAGAGGAGAAAGAGAGAGGAAGAGGGAGAGAGAAGAAAAAGAGGAAGGGAGAGAGGGAAGGAGGAAAGAGGGAAGGAGATAAGAAGCTTAAGGCAACATACAAATAGCAGATTTAGAGCTCCATAAGGGTTCTTTCTTTCCCTCCGCATAAAACGAAACTTATCTTGTTTAGAAGGGTGAAACCAAATGTATTTTTTTCTTTATTGTTCAAAGACCTTTAAATATCATACTTTTCTAGAAAACAGAATATGTACTAAACATCTACCTATTCAAATAGAATTTTTATGTTCATGTGACCCCTTTATAGCTTTTATAATTTTTTAATAAGGAAACATCTTAACCACAACAGGGAAAAAAACTGAGATGTGATTTTAAAACATTGACTTCTAAAAGGATCATTACTTTCACTTTGCTCTTTTCTCTTCACATTTTGTTTTCTTTAAAGAAATATTTATTGTGCACCTATTATGTGTAAGGTCCTTTTCTGGAAATAGGGGACTATATGCAAACAAAAGACCGACATTCTTGCCATCAGGGAGCTTATATATTTAGTGGAGACAGAATGAACAATAAATTAGTAAAACAAGTATTGTATAAAACGACTATAAATGCAGTGAAGGAAAATACAACAGGAAAGAGAGGTGAAGATATCCAGCAGACCTGTATGAGTGCAGTGAGGGACTTCAGTTCTAGACAGCATCATCAGGGGATGTCTCACTTATGAGGAAAATTTGCACAGAGACCTAAATAGCATTTTAAGCATCCTTTCTCTATGAATTGTTCACAAACCCTATTTCTGAAATGGCAATCTATAGTAACCATGGCATGAGTTTACATCCACTGTGACAGATGCTTTCTAAATTATTTGTACTATTGCTCTCTGCTAAACTGCAGATAAGTTGAATAGAGGCAGAACCTGAATATCTATAATTTATATGACTCTCTGCCAAGGCTGCTGTCAACAAAAACCAGTGGAATTCATCTGCAGTTTCACATGACCTTCTGAATTTTTGCAAATTGACTATGTTTATCTTGAGACAGAACTTGCATTTCTCCCCTTATTAGTGGCAAGTTGGGGTTGTACTTCTATCTGCAGACTGCAACACGTGTCTGTTCCATAGAGCCACTGGCCCGGCTCCATATGTGGTGAGATTATAGCAATGGGAAGGGCTTTTGTGGGAAAAATTGGAATGTAGTCCAGGTTTTTTCACTAGATTTCCTCCCATTCTTCAGCTTGGAGAGCTTTCTGTTTCATTGTTTCATAGATAGTCATGGTCATTATTTCTTTATCAGAATCCATTTGTTTATTCATTTCTACTAATTATTTTGGCATATATATTACAATAATTTAAGAACACTTTATTTGGAGATTGGCATGGTTTAAACACCCCGTTAGAAGCCCTTGTTATATCTAAACAAAAATTATGATTTTTCTTTTAAGTGATTAGAATATCACTGACTTATATTTTATTTGCAGTGAACTCTTTATTTTCGTGCCCCTGTATATTTCTCTGAATCAATCTGTATATGAAATTGTATTTGAAAATCTGTTTCTTTTATCTACTGCATATGGATCAAAACATTATTAATACAGGCCACCTAGCACCATGAAAATTATCAAGAAAAGGTGAAAAACATTTTTTACAAATTGATTGGAATGAGATACGTGGCTGGAACTATAGTATAGCTGACATCCAAAGAGGAAACGATGAACAAGTGTCAAAACTGTAAACAGGGATATGAACAGGGAAAGTAGATAACTTGTTTCCATATAATTTTAACAATAACAACAACCAAAAATGTTGGTACTAGTCTGTGCCAGGTTCTCAGAAAGTTCTTTGTATGTTATACAGTAATCATGCTATAAATTAGATATTAATTTGTGCTAACTCAATGACTAGTATATTGACCAAAGTGACACAGTTGTTAGGCAACAGAACAAGAATTGCATATGAGCTTAGAGCCATTAATTAAGCTATTTCTTCGTTTTTAAAAAAATTACAGAAGTTGTAGAGAAGACAGTACATGATAACTAGAACAAAGTACAACTATTAAAGGCTTTTAAGACAGTTTTCATATTCAGATTCATTTGGGTGAAAGAAAGTTCACTGTTATCATATTAACTGAAGTCCAAGAATCCTCAGTAGATTGTGTGTGTGTGTGTGTGTGTGTGTGTGTGTGTGTGTGTGTGTGTATGAGTAACTGATAAATCCTAGAAAGTTTGGTCAGGCTAACATATTATTAACCAAAAGCATGAGAAGGTCCTAAAATAAATCACTTATATAATATATAAGTTGTATGAAAAGAGCAAGAAAGAAAGAGAATTAAAATGGAAGTATTTTTGTGATATATACTCGTCTAAATAGTGGATATACTTAACATCCAAGTGAAATATTGCTTATACGTACAGAAATTAAAATAAAGTGAAATTTTAATTGTATTAAAATCAATTTTTAAAATACACCTAGTTTTTAAATATTAAAACACTGAGTCGTCTTTCATTTATTTTCAGATTTTAAATAGAAAACTACTTAATGTCATCAGATGTATCTTTTTTGGGGTTTGAAGGGTTTGTTTTTGTTTTTCGGGATTTTTTTGCCCTTAGTAAATATTATGGTGAAACATATTGTGTGTAGGCCAATTATTAATTCAACAACTTTATAAAAACCTGCTGTGGGTCCAGCCATGTGTTCTTCACTAGCAGTAAGAATGAATAGACACTTTTCCTGTAAAATGACCTGTGCTATGATTGGGTGAAGTACAGGGTATTACCAGAGCAGATAGGAAAGACAATTAACCCAGACTAGAATCCTCCGTGATGATTTATTTTTTGAAAATAATTTTGCCTATTTTTCTTGAGTAAAGTTATCAGCCAAAAATATGTTTAATGATGAAAGAGGGCTCTACTTTATAACTATATGAGACAATAGACATAACGGGCATACAGACAGATATTTCATCCTCAACATGGTAGGTATGGAGATCTTGCATATATCTAAAAATGTTAGGAAGCATGCGTGTCCCTAGCGCTGCTCTCATATTCAAGAAACTGACATATCCACAAATCTGGCAGGGATTTGTCTGTGCTACCTCCATCTAGAAAGCCCTGGAGAAAATGCAAAATGACAAGATTCAGTATGTTGACATTATGTTTTTAATTACACTGTATGGCTTAGACATTAAGGAGTTCACTACAAAAGATTTTGTGATCATTGTGGTCAAGTTGTTTAGCTCTTTGACTGATTTAATGTAAGACAATAATAAGGAAACCAACTTGACTTAAAAAGCATCCAGCCATTGCACCGTGAAATACCAGGGAGGCCTACATATTTGTTGAGAGATGCCTTTGCTTGGTTTGCAGGACCAGTGGTTTTGGCGAGTGAGAAACAACAGGGTGATGGATGGATACCCAATGCAAATTACTTACTTCTGGCGGGGCCTGCCTCCTAGTATCGATGCAGTTTATGAAAATAGCGACGGGAATTTTGTGTTCTTCAAAGGTAAGGATGTTTTCCATATCTGGCTATGTTGTATTTTAATCATTTTGTCTAGAGCCCTGTGGTGCACACAAAAGCGATGAAATGAGATTATATAGCTAATGAATTTAATGAAATAAGCTATGTTGACTAGAAATATAAATGAAATACAGATAATTTTCAATTTTTATTTTATTTGTTCTCATATGGTATTCTCATGTCAGATTTAAGAGATATTCTTTCTCTTAGAACTTTTAGATTTGACTTAAAAGTACCAAAAAAATTAATACATAAATAGCCATTTCTGCACTGACTAAAGGTTTGTTTGTTTGTTTGTTTGTTTGTTTGTTTGTTTGGAGTATTTGGAGTTGCTTGCTGGTTTTAGGCCTTCAAATCTATTACACTCCTATTTTCATACATAATCTCTGAAAATTTGCTTGATTTAATCAGTTTATTTAAACAGAGTCTAGTAAACTAAGAAATAAAGGTAAGGAAAACAGAATTATCCAGTTATCAGTATCATGAAATTTATGGTCTGTTATTTATCTGAGTGCCAAATTTTAATCTCACAAGTGCTACCAACTGCGTGGCTTGCAAAAGTGAGATTACCTGACGAAGTGAACTTAGGCAACTGCCTATTATTTTATTCTCAAAACTAGTTAATATTCAAAACCACAAATCTTATATCTGTGGAGGAAAACACAGGGACAAGAGGCAGATTGAGTTGGAGGACTGAGGGAATTGTGAAGAGAATGTATTTGAGCTGAAGCTGAGGAGAACTAGAGTGTAAAAGTTTATGATTGAACATATTACCCAAGAGCCTAAAGGCCTGAAAATAATCTTATACAGGAATAGAGATTGAGGAAAGGAAAAGGGGGATCTTAATCCCTCAAAAAGCAATTATTCGCAGAATCAAACTAAAATAATTAATAGTAATGATGAGGGTAATGAAAATATGGGATTTGGGAAATACTTGTAATATTTAAAGTGAGGCTCAAACTACCTCTATAAAATGAAAGTATATACCTGGACTTTATCTTTACAGATTGTTCCTCAAGAAAAGAGGCAGTTTAGTACGTTAACTGTAAGAACCTGAGAATTCTATGGCCATGTTGCCAACCTTGAATACTTACTAGATGTATGAACTGAACAAGCTACTCAATTCTCTTTGCCTTAGTTTCCCCATCTGAAAAATGGAGTTTATATTATTCCCCATCTCAGAATGATTTTGAGAACTAAATTAATTACTACATGTAAAGTACCTGGCATGTATAAACCCTCAATAAATGCCAACTATTGCTGCTGCTGCTCGTAAGATTGCTATTAATTTTCTTGCCCTCCTGCTGTCTATAATAAGCATATAAAAAAGTGTGCGTGCACCGCACCACAGTGGACAAAGTAAGGATACCACCTAAAGGCTGTGAATCTTAGCGACATGATATTCGAGGGAAATTCCCCTCTCCTACACCCTTCCTGGGTCCCATGAGTAGGAGCAACAAAAAGAAGGGCAGGTTCAGTTCCGACTAGCCTTCCACTTGGGGACTATCCCAGGAGGCCCTGCCTCCTCACAGGACCAGTAGTGCTCTCTGACAAAACTGCCTGAGGCGAAATTGCCACAGTCATCAATTCATGTTCTGACAGCTCTTTATTGCCTCGGGGGCTTCTCACTTTTATTCGCTTCCCTGCTCCTTACCCTGTGGCTAGCTCCTTTTCATCTTTCAACAGCCAGCATAAAAGGTATGTTCCCCCGTTGCCTTCCTTGCCCCCCTTTTTTAGTTGTTTTTTTTTAGTTTGCCCAAGTTTTTTTTAAAAAAATTGAAATTACCCACAGCATTCAGATGGAAATTTCATGAGAGATGGAACTTGTTTATATTTTCCTGCATATCATTTTATTTTCAGTTCCTAAAAGTTTTGG